AAGTATTAAGACTTTATTAGCAAGGAAGTATAAAAACTTCTTGTGAACATCTTTTTTGTGTGTGGTTAGAGAATCAGCGAAAAGAGTTTAACATGTTATATATTTATATTCATAATTAGACCAACATAATATATTTATTAATCTTTTAAAAAATTGATATAAATATATTGAACAATTATATGGCCAAACTAAATCTTATGCTAATTTGTTTTTTAATAGCTTTTTATTTTCAAATGAACTTAAGCTTTTAAGTATGATCTTGGAAATAATATTTTATTTTGAAATAAGTTTTAAGTAAATATTCTTTTAACTTATCCATTATTGCCAATAGATTGTTGCTATTTATTATTTTCAAGAAATGAATTTTGAAAAACTACAATAGGAAAAAAAAATAATAAAAGAAAGAAAAATATCTAAAAATATTCAAATGTGTATATATTGTATAAAGAAAAAAAAATAATAAAGTTCTATATTTTTTAAAGGATCTTTATTAGAAACCTTTTTTTAATTAGGAATCAACTCTTCTGAAATATTTTTATTCTTTCTACTATCAGAAGAACTTATCTATCTATAATTTTGATTATTTTCTTTTAATTGTTTAAGATACTGTACTTATTATTAACTTAAATCTAGTGTCTTGCTTATTACTTTCTTTTTTTTGATATTGATTTTATATTTAATTACATTCTAACCATGATTTATGATAAATCTCAAGTTCTTATATAATATTTAAGTCATATTGTATAACTTTTAATATTTACCTACTTATTTATTTACTTACTATCATTCATTAATTTATTTACTCATTTATTTATTATTCTATTTATTCACCTTTCTATTCATATATCTGTATATCTACAATATCTATATCTTAATTTATTTGTTCACCTATTTATTTATCTATTATCATCTATCTATTCATTTATTTACTATTTATTTATTTATTATTTATTTATCTATTTATCTATTTGTCTATTCATTTACTTATTAATTTATTTATCAATTAACTTATCTATTTATCTATCTATTCATTTGTCTTATCTGTTTATTTATCTATCCTTTTATCTTCCTATTTGCTCATTTATCTACTTACCCTACTTATATAGCCACCTATTCATTTCTGATTAGATTTTAACTAAAATCGATCGATTGCGATCACTACTCGTGATATATTAAATTCATCACTTTAATACTGCGCTATTATTAGTTTTTAATTACAATATATTTTATTAAAAATGATGATTACTTTAATGTACTAATTATAGAAATATCATTTATCGAGAGTTGACCGTAGTATCAAAAATACGTCGCGCGCTTTATTTAAAGAATAAAAATTGGCAATCTAAGGAAGATCGAATTCCTACCTCTCTTTAAAAAAAAATTCCACATTACATGTAAAACTGTCACGTGTGGATAAGGTATTAACCGTTTTTTGAAAAGAAAAAAAAAAAATCCAATACTAGATGAAGTTGAAATTTAATGGGTATAACGACAGTCTATAAAAGAAAAACTGGTTCAAAGAAATCAGTTGTAAAGGTAAAAGTATTACTGGGTGTATATTGAAATGGTGACAAGTCATCCAAGTAATTGCGGTCAGAGGTGGACAAAGGTAGATTAAGATCCACACCGACAGGCAACGAAGCGGATACTATTGATTTTTAGATTGGTCAATATTTTATAAATTTCGAAAACGATAATAAATCTTTAATACCTTCGAATGTTCTTGTGATATCGTTAAAGTGAGAATCGGAATCTTGAACATTCTGATTGTGAGCGTCTGAATGTTCAGAGCCATCATCGTTCGTAACTCGATAAGTCGGATTAACAGTTTTGTATGATTTTATCATCGAATTTATCAAAGCTATTTTCGTTTTATGTTAAAGGTTTAACTTTAAAAAAGAAAAAACGACTGAATATGCTAGCACAATCTTACTAGGAGTAATTTCAATCTTGTGTTCGCAGCTAGGATGTTGAAGGTAAAGTTTTTGGGCACCAGAATCAGCGATTATACCACGCTCCACGGATGCATCTTCGGATGGACCTGATTTAATGGTTGTGCGCTTAGCAATCGATTACCGGCCGAATCGTTTTATTATTATTATTACCTTCCGCGATAGCCTTACAATTCGCACAACGGGAAAATCGATCTTTTTTGTTGTAACATTCTAAGCACTGAAATAAACACTCCTTTTTGCTATTCTTACATCTCTCACATCTAAACTCTCCTGGTATTCCATTATAAATACATCTTTTTTTTTGTTTACGGCAATTCGTGCACTTTCCTGATAATATTGACTCGTTATTTAAGGCCTAATAAAAATTGAGAATAACATATCTGTTAAATATTTGTAGATTAGAAAGATATACAGTATTTCACCTGGAGCTACTAACATCTGAAATAAGGCCTATCCCATCCGGTAGTTGAAAAATAATTGAATCTATTTTTTGTTCTGGTGGTATTTGTGGAGACGGAGGCGTAGTTATAATTTGCTTTGGTTTTCTTCCAGGTTTAATTCTATCTTTAAATGTACATTCCGTACCACGACGTAAGCATCTTTCACACGATCGCTGCGAGGGGACAAGAAGACATTTCTTTTTTGAATCGATGCATCGAACGCAAACCCTCCTCCGTCTATGAGGTTTAAGTTGATCCATGTTCGTGATAAATACCAAAGTTTTCGTCCTGCAAATATATATCTGTATATATAGACTGCCGAACAAATTTTTCGGCAATTTTTGTGTTCCCATGCAAGGCGTTGATTTTGCTCCTCAGATAAGAGGTTTAGCGAAAATTCTAATCGGATAAGGTAGTCTTAGGCGATTGTTCAAACCGGTAACGTGGTAGAATATAAACTACGATTGATCGAACGTTTTTTACCCGCCTCTTCATACAGATGAACAAGTTGAACCTAAGTTTTGCCAATAGGTGTGCTAGCTGTATTATAAAAAAGAAGAGGTGTCAAGGGTGTTCTCGTTGCATTAAGCAAAAGAAAAAAAGATGTCCACATAATAAAATGCCAGGAGCTTTCAAGTGTGAGGGATGTAAGAAAAGTAACAAAGAGTGTTTGCACCAATGCAACAGCTGTTACAAAAAGAACAAACTTGTCAAAGGGGGCCCTCTTCCTGAATGTTCGAATTGTAGAAGAATCAAGGAAGGTAGTTTAATTTCTATAATTTTGTTACACATATGCTCCATCCCGTTCTCGCAGGACTCAATGTCCATTATTGCACTAGATCCACTCATAGAATCTGATGTTCTTGAAGAAGATGGTAAAATATATCTTTCACCTAATGATGGTAATAACAATAAATATGAAATTAGTGAAGGTAAATATTTTCGTTTTTTTTTTTAAAAAAATCTGTTTTATGTCATTTTATAACACCGTATATACTGTACGTACAACAGCAAACCTCGAGGAACTCTTAAAGATAATGATAAAAAACGGATACGAATTGGAAAAATACATTGGACACTCGCTTGTCTTCGAAAACAATCCTCCTATTT